CCTGCAACCAAGGAACTGTGAAGAGATCTCACTAGACAGGGCGCGCTGGCACCAACTCGTATCGGAGGCCAAGACCAACTTCGGGATGCTGAGCCAGCGGAGTAAGTTAAGTAAACATGACAATTTTCCTCCTTATCATCACAAGCTTTGCGCCATATATTCCGTATTTTTGAAGATGGAGTAAAATGAGAGTTCATAGCGCAAAAGTGTTGCCCGCTTGCAAGCAGCTAGTGATTGCAGTCGATAAATATTCTATCGACTATCGGCTGAATGCTGGTTATGCTTAGCCGAAGTTATTTCGTTTGATTCATCATCGGCCCATTATGCATTCTGGGCACAGGTTAATTTGAATTGTTAATTTATGAAAATTAATTCATACATACACTAAATTTAGAATATGTCTATTAAAAATACAAATAGAAGACGTATTTTAAAGTTTTTCATTTTAATTTAACATACGTAAAAAAAATCCGCTTGTCGGTGTTAAAAATATGTATGACTAAGAAAATTGATTTTGATAATGTTAAACAAATTGTCAAAATAAGAATAAAGAATACAATAACGCGATTAGTAATCACTAGCACGTCGTAACATTCACAATTCAGACATTTTTGGAAAAATTTTACCTACTTTCACAATCTATCGATAAAACTGTCGACAACAGCTAGATGACTATTTAAACTTTTTTAAATTTAAATTTTTTTTGACACTTTACTCCGTCTTCAAAAAAGACAGACTATAGAGTTAATCACAATTTTTTTACGGAACGCGAAAATGCTGCAATAAATTCAACTCTATGATGCTTAAAATAGGAACGGTCCATAGAGTCAAACTTGATGTGCCCTTGACAGGACACTGATAAGCAAGTTCCACTATATTATCAAGCAATCGGTTTTCCGCAGTCTTAATAGTAATTAATATAGCATTGCGTGGTTTGAATAATTATAAAAATCATTTGAATTATTGAGATAAAACAATTGACGTGCTTTTGCAAATTACCGCGTTTTGTAGGCACGTTGTAATTGAATAGAGAACTGGATCACGTACTCGCCCTTGACTTATTTGTTACTCCAGCTTTTAAATGACATAAAGTAAAGGGGCGAATAACTCGTGCACCGGGTGGTAAGCGACACGACTACCTGTACCAGTTGCAGTGTCACTTAGTGCTTTACATCTGCACTGCCACTGCAATCTGACACATACAATTGAAAAGTTCTATGTGGCTGTAGTTTATTAGCAACCTTACCCTTGAAAACAGGAACGTGGTTATGCTCATATTACTGTTTTACTTTTTATGATACGAAGTGACGGGATGAACAAGTCGTGCGCCTGGTGGTAAGCGACACGTCTGTCCATAACAGTTGCAGTCCCACTCAGAGCTTTAACCTACAAAGTTCTAAGGGGCACTGCCGCTGCGTCACTCACCCTGAGACATAATTTAACAAGACCGATGTGACTGTAATTTCACCAGCGCCCTTACCCTTTCAAACCGGAACGTAGTAATGATAACATTACCTATTGGTGGCAGAAATTGGTAAGGTGGTAGTACTTCCCTGGATGAACTCTTTCACAAGGAGCTCTACTCCTACTATAGCTTGAAGTCAGAAATCATACGTAGATACCAATCATAAATGAGGCAATCAGCGCAAAGTGGCGTAACCCCATGAAATGCATATTATGTAGACGATAATGAGGGATTTGAAAATTAGCCAAATAAATTTTACATACCAATAACTTAATAGGACTGCTAATCGCAATACAAGACAGCGTAGGCGGGTATTTACTACCTAATAGTACAACAGATGTCGCGATGAGCACCAAATACTTATTTTTGTAACTAATTTGTTTTACGTTGACAAGCTGCAATTTATCAAAGCTACTCTAATTCCTAGTGATAACAAACAAATCAACTAGATGGCGCTTATTGCACAGGTTCTTTATGGATAGTGCAGACTATTCTTTTATTTTGTTTAGGATTAGCTCCATCTCCCCATATTAGGGGGCGTTAATTTAAAACTTAACTTTGTAACACACAATCTATTGACACGTAAATTTGTCAAAGTTCAGAAAATTATTTTAGCTCATCATTAATATTGGGTTGTTTGGAGTTGGGAGGCCTTGGTAATGGCGTCCGCCATAATTTTTATATTTTTATAAAACTACCGCATATAATCGTTTTTACTTGACATTGGCGAAGTCATCGATTATTTCGATAGGGACATAACATTTAAAAGAAGACGGAGATATTATTTTTGCAAAACTACCGTACATAGTTACTTTTACTTGACATTGGCGAATTCATCGATTATTTCGATGGGGCCATAGCATTTAAAAGAAGAAGAAGCAGATTAATATTTGAATAATATTACAAGAAAAAAAAACTAACTTCTTATATTTCACATTAAAGAGGAATGAATTGAAATCCACGGCCATTCACATAATATAAAGTACTTCCAGGCTATTGATCAGCGCCAAGCGTCTAGATATAAGACGGAATTTTGACCTATTTAAGAGTTACGATCTGTAAGTATGGATTTTGGTCTATGATAATGTTAATAGTCATCTAAGGGACGCTGGCTCTGTGCCCGCCGTTAGACATACAGCTACAAATCGATGCCTTACTTTTACGAGTTTTAGATTTAGCCCAATCTCTTATTTTGCCCTTCTTAGACTATGCTGATTCCTGCTATTTGGATGCTACTGAAGATCTGCTACACAAGCTTGAACGATTGCAAAATCTATGTATAAGGTTTATCTGTGGGCCTCGTAAATATGACCGAATTTCACATTTCTGCAGTCAGCTCAAATGGCTTCCTATCCATCGCCGAAGGAATTTGCATATTGTGTCCGTTCTTAATAATCTACGGTCAGCGGACTACAGCAAATAGTCAAAAACCAACATCATTCATTTAAATTAATACATTTACCGACTGAAGCACAAAAGTCAAATCATTTATTATTTCATTAATTTGTATCTAAAATTCTAGTGGCGTCTTCATCAAATTTGTCATTCATTCTCTTCACATCTTCCAACATTATACACAACACAAAAAATATAGAATTATATATCAAAAAATGAAGCATTTTTCGACTTGTGTGTTTTAGTCCGCCGACCCTAGATTTTACATGACCCTGTCGCTCTTTTGTTAAGTCCCAGTCATCTTTCCCATCATTCAATTCCGGTTTCTATTCTCAGTCCTGCACTGTTCATGCGGTCAGACTTTGGAATGCACTTCCTATTACTGTTCACGAAAGTAAATCGTTAGTTATTTTTAAAGTGAGAGTTAAAGAGAATTATTTATCTACTATTCCATATATATCTTAGGTAGTATATTACGAAATATGTATTCATCAAAATACTTATATAGTTTATAATAATTTAATATTATTATATTGTTTTTATATTATTTTGTTTTGTTTTGTTGTGCACGTAAGCACGTTCTTTTAGTTATAGTATTCTATATTTAGGTCTGCAGGGAGAAATTTTTGTTAGAAATAAGCAGAACCTTCCGTTTGTATTTTTTCTTGTACAATAAACTATTAAATAAAAAGTGATTATTCAGGAGATCGCAAGACTTTCTATTTATTATAAATTTCTTATCAAGGGTGTTAATTTGGAGGCATTACTTTAAAAAATAGGTAAAAGCCAGTATGTGAATATGAAGGAAATGTGCTATGAAATCAGCCTGCAACATTTGTATATACAATCCATTTTTTGCATTTCAGTAACTTTATGCTTTAAGATACGAGTTGGAGAAAGTAAGGCGACGAAATCCCATATTCTTATAGGTCTCATGGGACCTGAAAAGTGCCCGAAACGTTGGTATGGTTGAAAAACGGAATATACGCGATTTACATGCGCCTGGTGGTAAGCGTAGCAGCTACATTGTACGAGCTTTAGATAGCAAAGTTCTGACCGGCACTGCCACTGCGCCCGTCATCCTGAGACATAATTAAACAAGTCCCATGTGCCTGTAATTTCACCAGCTCCCTTACCCATTATTTATAATTTTACTTCAATTTGTTTGATCGATTTCAAATTTGGTGTGTTACGAAAATTAGATAACATTACAATATGGTAACCACTTTAACACAACACAAACACTGACCACACCACACAAACACAAATTCAATTATAATATGGAAAACTAGAGTTTCCGCTTTTCCACATTATAACAAACAAAATTATTAGTTATGGTTTTTTTTTCTTAAAAAATTACTTTAAATCGCTTTTCTGAATATTTTCCAAGTGCACGTTAGACGTTTTACGTTTTCAGAGTCGTCGATATAATTTAATGTAATACATGATAATGTCTTTACTAATAGGCTATATTTGAGTAACTAATAAAATACGGATTAGGTCTGAAATAAAAGTTTTGAATTTAGAAAATGGTCATTGCAAGTGGATATTTTAGAAATGTGTAATTTTTGAAAGTGGTCATAATTCATGAATGTCATTTTAAAAAGCGAATATTTTTTTATTGCAGTCGACAGTCGGTGAAAGTTCTTACTTTGTTGTTTACTACTTTATCACAAACATATAGCGCAACTAGATACTGCATTTCTGATATTTATGTCGTTCATTGTAAATGTGAATTAAGTCCTTGTGTAATTAAATTTTGAAATAATGATCTTTTAGCAAATTAATGTGTAGTAATTTTAGTTTTTCTGAGTAAACAAGTAATGCCATCTGTGTGATGTTAGTGCAATTATTGGAGTTGCTTCACTTTTATAATGAAGGATATTACTAAATGTGAAACTTTTAAGCAAAAAAAATGTGTTTTAAAATATTGACTTAAACCACTTTTATAATGATCGACACATTTATAATCATTTAAAAAATGCCTAACAGCTTTAGACTTTGAGGCCATGTGTTAGTTGGGATTCTCTACTGCATTCCGGCAAATAAATAGTCTAAATTGAACAGGATAATGGGCCATAAACGAAGAGCCACGCTAATTTATAACTCCCCAACATGCTACGATCGAAAGTGAACTTACCTTTGGGGGGCCCGAAGAGGACAACGTCCATTGCTTTTAATGCCAACTTCTGCTTGTGAATGGGGTCCTTGATGCCCAGGACGTTGCTTAGGTACTGCATGTTGTTTACGGCTAACCTGAGGACATATACGGTATTCTATAACATATGTGGACAACGTAGCTTCATAGGTCTCTGTGGCTGACTTATTTTTTTTTATTTAGTTTCTATTATTAATGTTATGCATGCAATTTATTTTTGTAAGAAGAGTAATAAACATTGTTATGAAAAAGTTAACATAATTAATGAAATAATAAGGTTACACTTTTCGTTCTTCGTAGTATTAAAAACTAACATGTTTTTCTTTTGGTTTTACTTTTGGTTAAAATTTCGGCGCTCAACCATTTTTTTTTTGTAAATGTCCATATATTTTGAGAAATAGTCACATAGTGTTGTAACAAGACAATAAGAATACCACATAGATCAAGTGTTTTATTGAATGCCAGGATGTTTCACTACCATATTGAAATTACTCCACTAGTTTGTATAATTATTAACACAAAGATCGAACACTTGACGAAATACTTTCATAGATTTCTCATATATGGCGCTACGGCTAAAAAGTCGCTAAAAACAAGAAACAAAGATCTGACAACAAGCACTTTACTGGTTCGTTCCGTGGCTTAGTTGGCATAGTGTCTGGTACGGTTTGTTAGAAGACGTCGGTCCGAATCCGGCAATAATATAATTATAATATCACATAGATCCTGGCAGATTAAGCAAATTGTACTAAAATCTCGTTTGTTTTATATTAACTAGTAATATTCATTCCACCATGAAAATGTATATTATAAACTATTTTGTATGACCTAGGACCAAATATAAACTTCATCTTCATCATACAATACATCGAGATAATTTTGCTAGAGATCATATATATATATATATATATATATAAATATAAGTCGGGGATCAGTCTCAGGATTCATCTAATATATTATACTATTAATAATTTTACTGTAAATTAATATTGATTTGTAATATGGACTTTTTTAAGGACTTAAAGATTTCTGTTGTGTGTAAGTCATTAACGAGTATAAGTATTAAAACATTTCATTATTTTTGTACGAGAAATCAATTTAAACAAAAACAACATAGCAACCAACTATAGTATTATATACAACTGAGTCAACTTCACTTATTTTAAAACAATAGTAACAAAACTAATGAATACGACAAAGAAAAAAATTTCGTAATCGATCTCTATACACTTACAAGGTTATCTGTCACCATTGACTTTATTTTAATTGTAAGTCAATGTCTGTCACATGAAGATTAATTTCATTTACGCCTTCTCTATTCTCATTGAGTAAATAAGTCATCGATAAATGTTTTGTCAAGACATATTTTTTAGATTACATTATTTTTCATTAAATACTTCTGTTGGTAACAAACCTGTAATTAGTGATCATTATTTATGATTGAATTAAATACAACCAATTTCTTCTAGTTTGTTTTTAATGTAAAGACGGCATCACATCAAGTTACACATTGACCGAAGGTCAAAAACATCTTATAAAAAAAATACGGAACTTGTTCTGTTGCATTGGAGGCGATATTCGAACAAAAGTGTATATAGCTTTATGTGCTTTGAAGCATTCACATCATAATAACGAACTTAATTATTTAATTATATTTCGATTTACCAGACTTATCTGATAAGAAAAAAGGGTGAATTTCTAAGTCGTAGAACAACAGTTTTCATTCTATAATATATGTATTGTATTGTATTATTGTACAATATAATATTTTAATAGTGTATCGAGTTCTTAGGTTTCCAGTCAACCGTGACCATGGAACCTGTAAAGGGTCCGAAACGTCGGTTTGTTTGAAAAAACAAATATACGCGACTTAAATCCGGAAAAATAGTTTCATTTCCTAAGTGTATCTTTTGTAAAGAACAATATAATATATGTGGTAAGGAGTGTTAATACACACATAAAAAATGTCTACGAATCAAGGATTTTTTTTAAATATTAGAATGTCCAATTAAAATTAAATAAAAGTATGTATACAAAAATATCTATATTAAATTATTTATTTTAAATGATTGATGAAAGAAATTAACTTAAATGATTTTCAGTAATTGGCAAAAACGTGTTTGATCCCTATACACTTTTGATGTGTATATGTCGTGATCGGAATTGAGGAGGTTAATTTACCTAAAGTATGAACGTTTTCATAGTATGGACATACATATTTCGTCATCGATGCGTATAAAAAAATTTTTTTTTACTGTTTAATTTGTAAACATTTCTAAATATAGATTGACTCATGTTTATTTTTTAAACGGATGAATTATTTAAATACGTCAGTAGCTACAGAAACATAACTACAATATTATTTTTCTATCCATAGCACTGCCGTATCACTGCTATACTCGCACCGCCTTTGCTCTGTTATAATATACGATACAATAACACAGGACGGGTCAAACTGTAAATATTCACACCACTGTGATACTCGTAGTATGTATATATGTATGTATATAGTAGTAGCATAGGTAATAGTAAAAATGTTGTACACTGTAACAGTACTGTGCATCCCGTAGTTCGGTTCCTACCGTAACCGAAGCTATGGTATGCTGAATGTTCTACGCGAATGGGCAGTACGGCTATAACCGTAATCTAATTTTGTATGGACATTTTTAGTATCATATTAGTACATTTCATACTTTAGGTGCTAATGTGTCGCCAATGTTCTCAAATTTCAATAAATAATAGGCATATTCAAATATAATCAGTTCCGAGAAGTCCCGGGTCTGTAGAAGGGAATGTCCACGTTATTATTTATTTTAGCTATATCATTGACCTACCAACAAATGGACATCGGGTCTAATACAAAAACCACGAAAAAAATGTACGAAGTTAACCGATACAAACGTTGTGACATGTAACAAAATGTAAAAAAAAATATTTAATTTATATTGTGACGTCATTACTGTCTAATTTTGCTTGCAACAATTTAAGGGTCCAAAAAAACCATATTCAGCTTCTACTGGAAATTTAACAAAATGCACCATATTTAGCTTCGACTGAAAACTACTTGAACACAAGAGTAATGGAGCTGCCTTTATAGTAAATATTAATTAATTTTTATATGTATTATTATGTCGAGTTTTGTACAAATTCTCTTAAAGGAATAATAAAGAGTTGGGCAGATACATACATACAAATATTAAAAATGTGAAAATAAGCATGTACTATAAGCAACGTACCAATATTCCAACTAAATGTAAACTCATTTATCTGTAATTTCGAAAACCGATTTATAATACACTTTCAAGTAATTTTGATGCTTTTCACAAAGACAAAATGAACTTTGGATTGTAATATTCCTAAAAAAATACATTTGACATTATGAAAATTCGAGCTAACGTTATTTCGGGCAAATGTATTTTCTGACTTCTGGTAAGTAATCCCAAGCCGTAAAACGATTACAATAATATTTTGTTAGTTATTGGTAACGTTCAATAAAAAATAATTTTATAAATAAGATTAAAATCAAATCGACTCTATAGTTTCTTTGTTCTAAATATTTCAATAGATTGTGGTTCGAACTATTGAAAATGACCAAGAAGTTTGAAATTGACGTAATGGGTGTCTTTCTATCTTTTGCGTATGCAATGTGTAGAAAAAGGACAGTTAGCTATTTGATTATTTTGTTTGCTTTTGTAATTTATATTTTCGATTCATTTATACATAAACTAAATACATATGTATGTACAATGTATTTGTTTAGTGAAAATATGATACAAGATCCTGTATTTACACTTTACTGCAGTAATTTTTACAACTTATTATTATATAGTACTGCATGATTGACAACCGCGCTGACAGTTGAATAAACGAAGAATGTTGCGCGATTGACGCTCTGTATGCGATTTTAACGCCCTATAGGTGCGGACACTTTTTAGCGCAAACCCGACGTTCATTTGTTGGTAGGTCAATGAGTTATATTAACTCTCTCTAATTCCGATTACTGATTATAACATCAGTTACTGCTTTAGATTCCAGTCTCTTGCAAACATAACGTAAAATACGTTTTATTATACACTTAATATTTTGGTTGACGCAAAACTGTTATAAAATAGATGGAGATGTACGGACTCTTTATTACAGTAGTTAGTTATTTTGTGACAAGTTTGTCTAATAAAAATGTCATCACAGCCAATGATACATTTAAGAGGGAGTAGGTATAAATATCTAGTATGGAACGGCTGATTTTATTTTGTATTACACAGAGGCCCATTGTAATTATTATTTATTTTATAGTCTCGTTTCATCAATGGCCTACTAGCTAATGAATAAACCTGATAAGGTTTTTGTTATGTCGCCGCCACGTTTTAAATTTACCCACAGGTGTTCTTTTTAGTAAAATTTACTTATTCACTGTAACCCGAAATAAATGAATGTTATTTATTATTTTTGCGAAATTTAATTTTTAAAGGTTTTGTGTTACGGTATGATTTCTTTTTGTTTTCCCGGCCGGATGCATAGAAATATTTAAATGTTATATTTTTTTATTTATTATTATTTCGATTATCTGTTATAGTTTCGCGTCTCTATTGTGGCTTTTAAAAATTTTATTTTCAATTTAATTAACAATTACTATTATTGTTTTTACTTTCTCTAGAGAGGTCCGAGAAGTTTTATTTTATTTAAATTCATTTTATTCGAATAAAACATTTACTTTATTTTTGACGTGTGATTTCTTATTATTATTATTATTTTCGATATCTATTTTAGACTCTCGCTTCTAAAAGATTAACTTTAAATTTTTTATGAGAGAGACGGTATTCCCCGGCAATGGCACAGTCGGCCAGGCTCAGGGACTCCGGTTCAAGAACCGGCGAACAATATGTGCCATATTGAGCAGGACCGATTCCTGGAAGTCACAGAAATCCAACCGCATCAAGTTGGTAGCGAAGACTTAACCTGTTTTAGGAAAAACCAAATCATTAGGACGATTACAGTGGCGTGCACATCCCATAATTATAATTAGGTACCTGGGCAATGTAGCTCCAGTCACTTTGTGTTGGAGGAAGAGCGTTTTGTACTGCGGCAGATCCACTGACTGCGAAAGCCATTCCACCGTCTGCTCCACCGTCCAGTTGTGGACCTGTAACAAGATATGATATGGTAGCGCACAAATGTACTCCTATCGGTTCACCAAAATTCACTAAAATCACAACCACTAAATAGGTTTAAGTGTTTATTAAAACAGTGGTTGAAAGAAAAAACATATTACAGTGTAAATGAAATTTTAAATAAGTAAATTATATTGCTATTTTCATATTTATAATTAATGTAAGTTCATAATTTGACTAATAATTTAAGAAAAGGTTTTAAGTGACATAGTATTATGTAAAAAACAATTATTTAAAATTATTAATTGTACTTATATATAACGTAAAATGTAATTAATTAGAGACACAGCTTTTTAATTTAGCATGCTTATATTAGTCATTACACAGCATGTTGCATTGACTGTTATTATATATATTGCATGTCAGAAATGGCGATACATTATTCTGTAAATATTACCATCTAGTATTGTACGTACTTACGACATTTAAAGCAATAAATGATTTGATATGATTCGGGTTTTTCAATAGCAACATAACATCTGTGTAACAGAATAATTAAGATATCTATAGTCAGTCTTTTTTTAAGACGGAATAAAATGACATTGTAGGGTTGCAAGTTTTCATAAAATTTTAAATAGTTATGTAGGTAGTTGTTGTCAATATTTTTATCGATAGATTGTGAAAGAAGATAAAATTTTGCCAACAATGACTGAATTGTGCATGTTACGACGTTCTAATTGTAGTATCGAGATCAATTTTTATTCATACACATTTTAAGAAGAATAACCGGATTTGATAATCTAAATTGAATTAAAATTAAAAACTTGAAAAAACGAGTATCTTTGTATTTTTCATATATAAAAATAGTTTGAAATACAGTGTATGTATGTATCAACTTACATAAAATGACAATTTAAATGAACTCGTGCTCAATAATTGGATGAATAATGGGTCGAAGATGATTGAAATGATACAAGTTCTTCTATTTATTGCATAAGCGTGACCAATATTCAGTCGATAGTATATTTATCGACTGCAATCACTAGCTGCCCGCAAGCGGGCAACACAGCTGTCATTTTAATCCGTCTTCAAAAAAGACAGACTATAGCTGAAATTTATTCCAAGTGCAATACACATGTTACATTTAAGAATGGAATTCGATGTCATTCGTATGACCACCGCGAGCACGTTTAGAGGCACTTCTCACACTTGCTTTTGTGTTACAATATAATATTAAATGAAAAAGGTTTATTCGGTGAATGAAGGACATTCGTAGGTAAACAAAGACATTGGTAGAAGATGTTAAAACATACCTCGGAGCGTAACCACGCTTCCCAAAGCTCCTTGACGGATATGTGCATGTCGTCGTTGTGATGGAAGGCGCGCTGGCGCTTCTCGTACCCGCTGTCGTATTGCAGCTCTTCGCGGAGGAACTGGAATGCAATAAGCCTACATGAAAACTGTGTATACATTAACTTTAATATTATGGAATAGTTGATACGAGAATATTGCATTAAACGTAACAATTTTTATTGAAATTTTCCGTTAAGGTGGCAAGCTATGGTTTTCATACAAAAATTCTTGCATGAATTTGTCCAAAAGTTAGTTTTTTTCTGATTAAGTACTATTCCGTATTGCCGCCTTACTCCATCTGTTATCACCAGGTTTCATAATATACTACTTTAGATCATTTAAAGTTCCATTATCAGACCAACTTGTTGGACCTTTTTAAGGTTTTTTTCGTGATATCAAGTGACAGGACGAATAAGTCGTGCGCCTGGTGTTAAGCGACACGTCTGTCCATAGCAGTTGCAATGCCACTCAGAGCTTTAAATCGTAAAGATCTGAGGGACACAACTACTGCATCGGTCACCCTGAGGCTAAGATTGCATATTCGTGAAATTCGACTGAAACCATCATAACCAAGTCTAAGTTCGGAACTCGTATGAATAGGATTATGATGGTTCGCCATTTTCCCATAAACGGTGACCTTCAGAGCTTCAAAGCGTAGAAATTTGGGGGGGACTACCATTACGCCCGTCAGCTTGAGACGTAAGTTGACAAGTCCATCAATGCAATAACGGCTGAAATAAGTAAGGTGGCTGTATTTGCCTAGACGAACTCTTGCACTCTACTGCTACTACTATTACGTGGATTCTAGTAGTCGACCTCTTCATTTTGAGAATTTAGAAACGAACGTACTCTTACTAAACTACCAAACCGCTCAGATACAGTCAAGAGCACGTCATTTCTTTTCACGATAACTTCGGCATTTCTGAACCGATTTTGATGAATCTTGTTTTGTTGGATAAAGTATTAGTCCCATTTAAATTCGAGAAAAAGAACATATTCCACCTCTTAGGGTGGCAATCTAGGGGAAAAACCCGGTTTCGTGCACATTTCGGTAACCGATTTCAATAACTTGGCAAACAGATGTAAATCCACGAATTCTTGAGGTCGGTTTTTTAGTACTCTGCACTGAGATTATTTAAGAATGATGTAAGAAATAATTTTCAAGAAAAGATTGTTTATTGTTTATTGTTAGCCGTTGCTCACGTTTACATTAGGGTGTTACCACACCAACCAATCTACAGTCGATCGATGGTAAAGCCGTAGAAACCGTTAGATTGTTTAACTTTAGCCACTTCGAGACTTTGAGAACGCACGGCATTTTGCATTGGGGTAATGCTGCCGATATTAATAAAATCTTTGTCCTGCAAAAACGTGCGGCTAGGGCAATTTTACAATCTGGTTCCAAGAGTCTCTTTGATAAAGAATTTAAAGAAATTAACGTTCTTACACTAGCGTTACAGTAAATTTATGAAAATGTATTTTATTTTAAGAGAACAGTAATTTTTTCATGAAATATAGTGACAGACATAACATTCATTAATACGAGGAATGAACATACACTGGCTATTTTTGACAGTCGTCTTCACGAAGTCACATATTCATTTAAGGGGCAATGTAGGTATACGCTTCTGTAATAACATTTTGGATGATATCCATAATTGGCATAAAATATAAAAAAAATATAGTGAAACAAAAGCTTCACACTTCTGCGTGAATTAGGATTACAAAAATCCGTGGTAGTGACTCGGTCCGTTCTTGCAGGTAGTTTCGATCTAGATGATTGAAATAAATATAGTAAATGATAATGTGTACAAATGTTTATTTACAAAGATCAACTCCTATAGCTTCTTGCTCATTCTTCTTAGGGGAATCTGTCTTACGAATGAGCAGTAGTCAATGCTCATCTGTATACATTTTGGAATGCCCAGAGTCAGAATGAGTAAGTCCATTATACGATGCACCATCGAACGATGGTGTGATCGATCGATATTCGTCGATAAGCCAATGTTACCAAACCAACCGATCGATTGATTGTATCGACATCTCTTTCATCGTCATCCCAGCTTTTTATCGCCCTGTCTTCTGTCCCGCCCTGTTGTCTGGTTCCTGGCCACTAACTTTTGAAATTTTGAATCGCTATCTAATTCTTTTCCTTCGTCATTTTTACTTTGCTTCGTTCCGTCGTCAGTCTCATCAAATTCTCGAAGAGAAAGGACGTGTCTTTTAATCATGTGAACCTAACTGCTAATAAAGCAGCAATTTATATATGAAATACGAGCCCTTTCGGAGTAAGTGTCTACTTTATATTCATCCATAATTTAATTTAGGGAGTGTTTTATAGTATTGTACCTGCGTTTTTATACCATTGTTTTTGGTAGGTACTATTGGATATACCAAGGTAATATTGGATTATCGACGAATATCGATCGATCAAACCATCGTTCGATGGTGCATCGTATAATGGACTTACTCATTCCGACTGGGGGCATTCCAAAATGTATACAGATGAGCATTGACTACTGCTCATTCGTAAGACAGATTCCCCTGAGAAAAATAACCAAGAAACTATAGGGGTTGATCTTTGTAAATTAACATTTGTACACATTATCATTTACAATATTTATTTCAATCATCTAGATCGAGACTACCTGCAAGAACTGGCCGGGTCACTACCACGGATTTTTGTAATCCTAGTTAGTACACGCAGAAGTGTGAAACTTTTGTTTCATTATATTTATATTATAATGGTTCGATGATAGATTGGATGTTGGTGTGTTACCGCTCGTAGAGTTGTGACAAATTGTGAAAACGAATAATTCAATGTATGGCAGTGTCCTCGAAATAAACCCTATTATACTTATACACAAAGAAACAACAAAGAGTGCAGGAATTATGTATTGAAAATATTTGCCGCATTCAAAGTTACCATTTGCACAAAACATTTGTTACAAACGTCTTTATCCCTATGTCTTTTTAAATTAATACATTAAACTCACATGTAGACTGGGTATACTATAATAGACTAGACAATGGGATCAAAGCCAGAATTAAATTGTACATGGATCATTTTAGACTGATTAAACATGTAAGAAACATCTTTCATTTCAATATGAAAACGAGCGTTTTGAAAACCCAATTGTAAAGAAAATCACGTATTACGAGGCTTTATGTAAACATTCACTGTTAATGTCAATTTTAAAACAGTCAATATAAACTCTAACGGCATAACATTACAATTTTAAATAAAGAATGACTATAACAATTATATGCTTCTGACTACCACAGTACGATTTCCTTTTTGTGTTCCAGACTGAGTAGACAATTTTGTCTGTTTCTTAAAGCTGTCATCTGCCGCTGGCCAATCAACCAGTGACCATGGAGCGTGCAACCGTTCCGAAACATCGGGAACAACCACGAAAGTCAAAATTCAAATTAAGAATGTTTACAGTTTGTATATCTCTAGGTGTGAGATTCTAGTTCCAGAACTTTCTATCAAGGCTAAAGAAAAATCATATTTCTCCTTCTAACATCAACAGACCAAAAACAAATCCAAATAATATGAAATTTTATTCATTTTAAACCTTAATAGAGAACAAATAAGGAATTTATAGGTACCTCTATGTACTCTAAAACAGAACTGTTTTGGCCTATAATACAGACATCGATAAGATTAATCTGACTCATGCAACGTGTTTACATAGGTAAAAAGTGTCAATATCGTCTGATAGAGAACAGCGTAGAAAAACTATGTGTAAATAATAACATTTCGTTATATTAACAAATTGGTGTGAGACGATGTCAGATGGTCAGGCAGAGACAGAAGATGATCTCGATGGTCCAATTGGGAAATGAACTGTTCTAAATTGGTTCTGGTCTGGGTATTTCGCGTAGTGCTTCAGAGTGAATTTTGGTCCTCGTGGTACAAGAAATTTCTTTGTTCGAAATCAGGTACTTTTCTTATGATACAAAATGACTTTAGAAAAGTTGTGTGCTTGATGGCAAGCGATACGCCTATCCATAACAGTTGCAGTAACGCTCGGTTATTTTTTTTAATAATATTAAGTGACGAGACGAACAAGTCGTGCGCTTGATGGAAAGCTACACGCCTATCCATAACAGTTTTGCAGTGCCACTCAGCTCTTTAAATCGCAAAGATCTGAGGCGCACTGCCACTGCGCCCGTCACCCTCAGACATAAGTTGACAAGTCCCATGATTTCACCAGCAAGCACCCTTACCTTTCAAAACCGGAACACAGTAATGCTCACATTACTGCTTTGACGAACTCTTTCACAAGGAGCTCTACGGCTACTAAAATATTGCTTTAAATGTCAAATACCTTGAGGGTCAACGTGCCTGTAGTTGCCAGCGCCCAAAATCTGCAACGCCGGCAGAAATAAGGTGGCAGTACTTTCCTGGATCAACTCTTTCACTTCAAGGAGCTGTACTGTTACTAGACTTGGTTGTGGTTGTTAAGCATATTAATGTCATTATTATTAGACAGAGCGTTAGGCTGATGTCAGAGTATACTGCTTTAAAACCGCACAATGTAACCGGCGCTGGCTGAACTAGTACAATAGGTAATCTTATTGTGTAATTAACAATGTTACGCTTTTGATCTGTCCTGGTCATTGTATATTTCACAAGCTTAATATTCGCGGGATGTCTATATCTATATTCATCCGTCGGCATACTAGCCAATGAACGGACCCCTTTAAAGCACGTGGTCGGCCAAAAACGATAACAACTCGGCACGTGTTGCGCCTTATACGCGTGAGCGAGAAAGCTTTACTAATCACTGTTACACAACCGATCAGGCGATGCAGCATTTTTTATTGAGGCTAGGAAGTGGGAGACAAGCGGTGCCGTGATCATACAAATCAACTTAACGGGTCCTTCACAGGTCACATCAGTTTTTTTATGATACCAAGTAACGGGACGAACAAGTCGTGCGCCTAGTGGTAAGCGACACGCCTGTCCATGACAGTTGCAGTGCTGTAGCGATCTACTGAAATGATGTAAACGGTTTCAGAAATATTTAAAATTATTTTCATAGATTTGTACCATTTTATACCAAATAAA